TTGCATCTTCCATACTCGAATCGAGATGATTCTCAACATGTGTGGCAAGCGCAGATCCAGGCCATGAGGGAGATCCTCGAAGGCACCAGGTATCACGATAACATTTTCATTCTGAGTGACTTGAATTACGAATTAGTAGACCTCACATCGGAGATGGCGGATGAGCGAAGCGCTCTCCTTAACCTTTTCATTCGTGACGTGGGCCTTAGTTTCACTAAACCTTGCATGTACACGTGGAGTAACACGAGAGGGGCCTCCTCGCGCATCGACTACATCCTTTATCGGACTCCGCACCAGACCACTCTAGATGAACAGGTGGTGCCGGAGTCGGATGTTCTTATAGGCTCGGATCATAGGCTCTGCACTCTCTGCGTGTCGACAGGAGCAGGTATCAAGCGACGTAGACAAAAAAGAACCAAGTGTGGAAAGTGGATTGTGGACTACACTAAGGCGGTCCCAGCACTCAACAGGCTGGCTGAGGCCGCCGACATCCGTGAACAGGACCTTCACGAGAAGGACTTCGTGGAAGTGGCGGCGCGGTCGTGCCACAGACCCAGAGGGCTACGCTTCAAGGACCCCCCCGAGGTAACAGATCTCATTAGGGATCGGCGGGCGGCCACGGACCCCCTACAGAAACGCCAACTGGGGAGAGAAGTTATGGTCAGGAGAGCTGAGTGTAAGAAAGAGTGGCGAACTAAGCTCCTTGACAGGGCAGCTGCAGGTGATTATCAGGTCATCAGTTACTTCAAGCGAAAACAAGGAGTTAATTGCTCCCAACTAGAGTACTGCCAACGATGTGGAGGGACTGGGCCAGCTGTTGGGGGCCTGAAAAGCTTCTACAAGCAGAAGTATGAGCCGCCCGAGCCGCAAATCCACGATGCGTTGGGGGTGTACTGCGCACTGGTTGGGAAGGACGTGCCGGCGCCGGCCCTGGTCACTAAGGAGGAGCTGGAAGAAGTCTTGTTGCATACTAAGAGCCGCAAAAGTTGCGGTAGGGACGGGGCCCCATATGAGTTCTGGTGTGCGGTTTTGCAATCTGACGCTGCGGACCACCTCGTAGAATTCGTGAACGACTTGCTCCTTGGAAATATCGCATTTCCCCAAGAGTGGACGACGTCACAAATCGTCCTGTTAGCCAAGACAAAAGAGCCTGCAGTCCCCAAAGATTTTCGTCCCATTGTTCTGGCAGCCACGCTGAGCAAGTTGGTGACCAAGGCTTTACTGGTCCGACTCAGGACGATTTTCCCGCCTATGCTTACGGGCCAGTTGTCGGCCCAGAGAGGGGCACAGTCGTTGGACGGATCGGTGGCCCTGAAACACCTGGTACACCTCTCGAGACAGTGGGGCCTTCCCCTGCTGGCGGTCAAACTCGACATCCAAGCAG